CCTGCGTAAGGGAAAGAAGATTGGGCGGCTGGAGGACACGCTGGACGGGCCGGAGGACGAGGCGCCCGATGTGTCCGACGATGACAACGGGGCAGAGGTGGAGGAGGAGAGGCGGAGGGTGAAGGTGGGTGGCCTGGGGACGGGACAGGAGTGCTGAGCTCCTGGGCACAGCTATGGGCCGTGGTGACACTCCAGTGGCGAGAGGAGAGGCAGAGACTGCAGGGACATCACCAGGCAGGGGGGACAGCCTTTTCTGCCCCTGGCCACACCAGCCCTCTCTTTGCACAGCGTCCCTATGGTGGCACCATGTTGGGGGTCTCCTGCCTGCTCTGTTCCTGGCAGGAAGGCTGCCCGTGGTGGGGCTGCTGCCACCCCCTGCACCCCGTGGCTCTTCTCGGCTGCCCTGGGCTCTACAGCCCCTGTCCTGGGTGAGTGCTGGGGGACAGTGCTCCCACTAGGAGGGACCCAACCTGCTTCTGCCTTGCAGAAGGACAAGGAGAGCCTGGCACAGGCGTTGTCCGACTGTGTCGTCTACTGCAAGAATGTGTCCTTCCGGGGCTTCCAGGAGGCCCGCAGCCATTCCCGGCCCTCCGAGGTCTCCTCCTTCGCTGAGGCCAAGGCCAGAAAGCTCATCCGGGACGCAGGTGAGACGGAGGGGCCAGCGGCACCAGGGGACCAGGCCACGGGGGAGGGGGCAGGAGGCTTCCTCAGGTGTAGGGCTAGAGCCTCCAGGCAGCGGGCTTCCTTCCCTGTCCAGGAGAAAGGGGGTCCAGTGGGGCTGCACCCTGGGTTTTGGCTCTGGTGGGTGAGTGGGGGTTACTGGCTTAGAAACCGAGGCAGGACGCCTGGGTTCCTGGGAGAGGACGGGGATGAGAATTGGTGGGTGGGTGGATGGGTGGATGGATGGATGGGTGAAAGGATGGATGTTTGGATGGATGGATGTTCGGATGGATGGGCAGCACATGTTGTGGGTGGCTGTGCAGGCCAGGGAATGACCCCACGAGTGGCCCTCACACTCCACCCCTAGGGAATGAGTTTGTCCGCCACAACGCCTGGCAGCTGACACGCATCTACCCCAGCGGGATGCGGACCGACTCCTCCAACTACAGCCCCCAGGAGATGTGGAACGTGGGGTGTCAGATCGGTACGGCCGGGGGGTGTCAGGGCTGCAGGCTGGGGAGATGCGCCGGGTCCCGTGCCAAATGGCACCATCAGCACCTGTGTGGCTGCCAGCTACAACTCCAGCTGGAGCCAGGTCTGGCTGCAAGGCTCTTGCCCTGCACTGCGGTGCCTGGGAGTACCTGGGCATCAGTGCCTTGTCCCTCTGTGCACCCCCGCATCTCTCTGGCCACGGCGACAGGCTGGTTCTCAGCTCCAAGCAGGACATGGTGTCTCCAAGCCACCCTGAACCCTTTCCCTGCCACCTTTCCCCAGTGGCCCTGAACTTCCAGACGGCCGGCACGGAGATGGACCTGTGTGACGGGCTCTTCAGCCAGAATGGCCGCTGCGGCTATGTGCTCAAACCACCCTTCATGAGGGATGAGGAGACTCTCTTCAACCCTGGTGACCCCAGCAGCCGGGAGGGCCCTGGCCCCATCACCCTGACGATCCAGGTACGGGGCCGAGGAGCAACCCCGGGGAGCTGTGACAGGGTCCTGGGGCTCTGTCGATCGCAGATGGGTGGAGACACTGCTGGGCACTGTAGTGGGGCCAAGCAGTGCTCCAGCAGATCAGTTTGGTGGCTCCCTGGCTCACGGGGTCCCTGCCCCTTCCCGCAGGTGATCAGTGGGCAGCAGCTGCCCAAAGTGGCCAACAGCAAGGACGGAGCCATCATCGACCCACTGGTGCGCGTGGAGATCTACGGAGTCCCCGCAGACCAGACACACCAGGAGACCAAGTACATTGAGAACAACGGTGAGCCCCGTGGTGGTACCAGGGACCCCACTGTGCCCAGGTGGCCCCAGCCCTGCCCTCCCTCGCCCTCCCAGCACCCGCTCTCCCTTCCCAGGGTTCAACCCCCGCTGGGATGAAACGCTCCAGTTCCAGCTCCACGTGCCTGAGCTGGCCCTTGTCCGCTTCGTGGTGGAGGATTACGACAAGACCTCCAGGAATGACTTCGTGGGCCAGTTCACCTTAGCCTTTGCCAACATCAAACCCGGTGAGGGGCTGCTGCCCGGTGTATGGGGAGCCAGGGGGGCGAACAGGGCAGCCCCCCAGGGGTGTCTGGGGTCAGCTGGGTGGGGGGCAGCCCTCAGCCAGAGCCTCGCTGTCCCCACTGCAGGCTACAGCCACATCCATCTCCTCTCCAAGGATGGAACCAGCATCCCACCCTCTTCGCTCTTCGTCCACATCCGCATCACCGAGCTGCCCGGCCCCGAGCAGGACTGAGCCCGTGGGGCGAGCAGGACCTGGATGGAAACCACAGAGTGGGCCCGGAGGAGCTGAGGCCACACAGCCAACCGCATCGCCCTCTTGTTGAGCCATGTGAATCATCCCTGTGTTGTCGTTGCACTGTGCCCCCATTCGTAGTGACCTCCAAGGGTTGGGGAAAGGCGCTGACCTCCCCTTCCGAGGTTTGGGATGCTGACTCCCACACACAAGTATGGGGTCTGTAGTGGTGCAGCTCCCTGCACCCCCTACGTGCACCCTGCCCGGGCCCACGGGCACAGCATGGCCGTGAGGAGAAGGAGAGATGGCGCACAGCACCCCGGCCCTGCCGCAGGGGCTGGTCCCCTGTGGCCAGGGGAGCGCGGCCGGAGCTGACCAAACCCCAGGGCTGGGCAGAGCTGGGAGAGGAGTCGCTCCTCCCTGCCCCCGGCCCCTACTAACCCTCGCTGCATCCTTTCTCTGTAAACAACCTAATAAATTGTTCGGTGACAGGCAGGCTTGGGCTGGGTGCAGTAGGGCTGGGGGCACCTGGCCCACTGGTCACACAGGGCTCCAAACAGCCCCAAGAAACAGTATGAAAAGGAGCCGAGAGATTCCTTTTATAGAGCCGCGTATCTTACAACCCATATACATATATGCCTATACACACACATACATCTCCGCAGCAGATGCGCCACTGGTGCCTTAAAGCAGTTGGGATTCGGCCTCACGGCGAAGCGACGTCCTTCTCTGTGGAGCACCCCCCTTCCTGCTCCGTCCCGGGGGGCCCCTCTGCCCGGCTCTCCCTCTGCACGGCATGGAGGTGGACGGTGGGCGTGCTGGGGTCCTTGCCCACCCCCTGGCTGGGGTCGCCGGCCCCGCGCTCAGGGTGATGCCGCTGGATGTGTTTGATGACCTGGAACTTCTGCTTGGCCTTGTAGGGGCAGTAGCGGCAGAAGAAGGGGTGCTCGTTGGTGTGGGTCAGGTAATGGTGGCGCAGGCCGGCTGCCCAGCGGAAAGCCCGCCCGCAGGCGTTGCAGACGTAGGGCTTCTCCTCGCTGTGCTTCTTCAGGTGGGGCTTGAGGAGGAAGCGGGTCTTGAAGGCCTTGCCGCATTGCTCGCAGATGAAGGATCGGGCCTCCCGGTGCCGTGTCTCCTTGTGCACCCGCAGGGCGTCCGCCCGGTTGGTGCAGTACTCGCACTCGTCGCAGCGGTACGGCTTCAGGCCTGTGGCGGCAGGGAAGGGGATGGCACCCGGACAAGGGGATTGTTCCCTCCATCCCACAGGTCTTGCCATCCCTGTAACAAGAGCATCAGTTCCCAGAGACTCCCCACTATACCCTATCGTGTCAGCAGGCACCCCAAGACCCCCCATTCCCAAAGCACCACGCAGTGCCTGGGGTCTGCACCTCCCCACCTTCCCTCCCACACCGGGGCACCGTACCCAGCCCACCCACACACGAGAACATGCTGCCTCCCAGCTGCTGGGGGTCCTCCCCTGCCTCCACCTGGCCCATCGGTGGCAAAGGAAGCACGGAGCTGGGGTCCCCATAGCCCCAACACCCTCTCTGATGACCCACAGCCTGTCCCCGGTGGGCAGCACTCACCCGTGTGCTTCGTCATGTGGTACTTGAGCTGGTTCACCCACTTGCACTTGTAGCCGCAGTCGGGGCAGAGGTATTTCCGCTCCTCCTTGTGGATCCGCATGTGGTACTGGGCACAGGGCAGGAGGGCAGGGTCCGGATGAGGCCGTGTCCCCTGCCCTGGGAACGTGCAGGGCTCCGGGGTGCCAGCGAGGGGCTCAAAGACAGCTCTGACATCTCAAACCGCACAGGGCAAGGAGGGCTGTCTGCCTGCCCGGCGGACTATGGGCCGGGGGCATCCACAGCAGATCAGGATGAGACCCCCCTGTACTGCTGAGCTTGCCGGCCCAGCCTGTGGAGGGGTTCAGGCTTTTCTCCCCAGCTTGGTATTTAGAGTGAAGTCCAGGTTAAAACCCAGCCCAACAGAGCTAGCTCTGAGCTGAGCATGTTGCACAGCCCCGCCCAGGCAGCCCCAGAGGGCTCCAGCTCAGCTCGGCCATTAAAAAAGTCAATATTTCTTTTAGCAAACCAGACCATTTTCCCCTCCATTACCCCATGCCTGGCCCTCCTGTTCTAGGAAAGGCCCTTTACCGGACACGAGGATGCTAATCACCTGCAGGAATGAGGGCAGGGTCTGGCTCTGCGTGCAGGGAAGCTGAGCTCTCTCTGCACCGTGTCCAGCTGGTGGCACAGAGCACGCTGCAAGCCAGCAGGCACCAAACTCCGCTACGAGCAGCACAAGGCTGCACTCAGAGGACGCCAGAGATATCAGCGAGAAGAGTGAACTCAGACAGCTGCACACCTTCTGCCTTTGTTACAAATCCCCCTTCCCCTTAATCTGCCACAGCAGGGAAGAAACATACTGTACCCATCCAAGTTTTATCCACTTGCCTCCTATTCCTGTACCAGCCACAGAAGGCAGAGGACAAAACCTCCCCTTGGGAGTTTCTTCTTCCCCAGATCCTTGTGCCTGGATCCCCCCAGCCCACGTAGATACAGCAGGATACATCCCCCACCCGCAAGCAGGGCTCTCACCTTGAGACGCGAGGGGTCGGCGCAGGCGTATTTGCAGAGGTGGCACTTGTAGGGCTTCTCGCCAGTGTGGATGCGGATGTGCCATGTGATCTTCTGCCTGTTCTTGGTGGTGTACTCGCAGTCGGAGCACTTGTACACGCGGGTGCCCCCGTGGCCCTTCATGTGCTGGTCGAAGACAAGCTGGTGGCAGCAGGTGAAGTCACAGAAGGGGCACCGCAGGGGGTTGTCCTGGGGGGCGGCTGGCTCCCGGCCACCCCCGT